TAGGGGAAAAACAGGGATTTCTGTGAAAATAAGCCACATTTTAGGGGAAAAACAGGGATTTCTGTGAAAATAAGCGATATTTTAGTGGAAAAACAGGGATTTCTGTGAAAATAAGCGATATTGAAGGGGAAAAACAGGGATTTCTGTGAAAATAAGCGATATTTAATGGGAAAAACAGGGATTTCTGTGAAAATAAGCGATATTTTAGGGGAAAAACAGGGATTTCAGTGAAAATAAGCGATATTTTAGGGGAAAAACAGGGATTTCTGTGAAAATAAGCGACATTTTAGGGGAAAAACAGGGATTTCTGTGAAAATAAGCGATATTTAAGGGAAAAAACAGGGATTTCTATGAAAATAAGCGATATTTTAGGGGAAAAACAGGGATTTCTGTGAAAATAAGCGATATTTTAGGGGAAAAACAGGGATTTCTGTGAAAATAAGTGATATTTCAGGGGAAAAATTGGGATTTCTGTGAAAATAAGCGACATTTTAGGGGAAAAACAGGGATTTCTGTGAAAATAAGCGATATTTAATGGGAAAAACAGGGATTTCTATGAAAATAAGCGATATTTTAGGGGAAAAACAGGGATTTCATGGAAAATAAGCGATATTTTATGGGAAAAACAGGGATTTCTGTGAAAATAAGCGATATTTAAGGGGAAAAACAGGGATTTCTATCAAAATGAGCGATATTTTAGGGGAAAAACAGGGATTTCAGTGAAAATAAGCGATATTTTAGGGGAAAAACAGGGATTTCTATGAAAATAAGCGATATTTTAGGGGAAAAACAGGGATTTCTTTGAAAATAAGCCACATTTTAGGGGAAAAACAGGGATTTCTATGAAAATAAGTGATATTTTAGGGGAAAAACAGGGATTTCTGTGAAAATAAGCGATATTTTAGGGGAAAAACAGGGATTTCTATCAAAATGAGCGATATTTAAGGGGAAAAACAGGGATTTCTATGAAAATCAGCGATATTTCAGGGGAAAAACAGGGATTTCTAGGAAAATAAGCGATATTTTAGGGGAAAAACAGGGATTTCTGTGAAAATAAGCGATATTTTATGGGAAAAACAGGGATTTCTGTGAAAATAAGCGATATTTTAGGGGAAAAACAGGGATTTCTATGAAAATAAGCGATATTTTAGGGGAAAAAACCTGGATTTCTGTGAAAATTATCCACATTTTAGGGGAAAAACAGGGATTTCTATGAAAATAAGCGATATTTTAGGGGATAAACAGGGATTTCTATGAAAATAAGCGATATTTTAGGGGAAAAACAGGGATTTCTGTGAAAATAAGCGATATTTAATGGGAAAAACAGGGATTTCTGTGAAAATAAGCGATATTTTAGGGGAAAAACAGGGATTTCAGTGAAAATAAGCGATATTTTAGGGGAAAAACAGGGATTTCTGTGAAAATAAGCGACATTTTAGGGGAAAAACAGGGATTTCTGTGAAAATAAGCGATATTTAAGGGAAAAAACAGGGATTTCTATGAAAATAAGCGATATTTTAGGGGAAAAACAGGGATTTCTGTGAAAATAAGCGATATTTTATGGGAAAAACAGGGATTTCTGTGAAAATAAGTGATATTTCAGGGGAAAAATTGGGATTTCTGTGAAAATAAGCGACATTTTAGGGGAAAAACAGGGATTTCTGTGAAAATAAGCGATATTTAATGGGAAAAACAGGGATTTCTATGAAAATAAGCGATATTTTAGGGGAAAAACAGGGATTTCATGGAAAATAAGCGATATTTTATGGGAAAAACAGGGATTTCTGTGAAAATAAGCGATATTTAAGGGGAAAAACAGGGATTTCTATCAAAATGAGCGATATTTTAGGGGAAAAACAGGGATTTCAGTGAAAATAAGCGATATTTAAGGGGAAAAACAGGGATTTCTATCAAAATGAGCGATATTTTAGGGGAAAAACAGGGATTTCTGTGAAAATAAGTGATATTTTAGGGGAAAAACAGGGATTTCTATGAAAATAAGTGATATTTCAGGGGAAAAACAGGGATTTCTAGGAAAATAAGCGATATTTTAGGGGAAAAACAGGGATTTCTGTGAAAATAAGCGATATTTTAGGGGAAAAACAGGGATTTCTGTGAAAATAAGCGATATTTTAGGGGAAAAACAGGGATTTCAGTGAAAATAAGCGATATTTTAGGGGAAAAACAGGGATTTCTATGAAAATAAGCGATATTTTAGGGGAAAAACAGGGATTTCTTTGAAAATAAGCGATATTTTAGGGGAAAAACAGGGATTTCTATGAAAATAAGCGATATTTTAGGGGAAAAACAGGGATTTCTGTGAAAATAAGCGATATTTTAGGGGAAAAACAGGGATTTCTGTGAAAATGAGAGATATTTTAGGGGAAAAACAGGGATTTCTAGGAAAATAAGAGATATTTTGGGGGAAAAACAGGGATTGCTATCAAAATGAGCGATATTTTAGGGGAAAAACAGGGATTTTTAGGAAAATAAGCGATAT